AGATAGAGATAATTATAAATTTGTAGAAAGTCATATATGCGTATAGCAAAATTTATCGAATGAGGTAAATCATTAAGCTGATGATAGGTAAATAGTAAAATGTGGGCTGGTTGAAAATAACATTTGGAAAAAAATTAAAAATACCAAAGAGTAAAATCGCCATCAATGACGCGAAATTATAATTAATGGACCTTCTGTAAAGTGAAAGCGCGGTTGCACCATTTGGATATGTTTAAGTTGGGCCTGCAGCTGTCAAGTAGAAAGATTTACATCAACGGAAATATAAATTATTATGCCAGATTGACAGCGATTTCCCGGGAAAATCTCAACTGTAATTCTATTAATTTATCTTCACTTAATGTGTACAAAAAAGTAAAAATATATTTTCCTAGCTGCTAAATCGCAAATGATATTGGATGATATGATATTAACGCAATGATGTGTTTCACTATTATTATTATTGTTCAATATTATTAAAATAATAATATATATTATAATATTATTTATATATTAATAATAATAATAATAATATAATTATTATGTTATTCAACAAAACTATATATTGCGTGCGCTAAAATATATCAAACTGCAAGTAAAACGATCTTTTCCAAGCAACGTAGCAGCTCGCATGTTTTTTTTTCTGCCAAAAAAATTACGGGAAAAAGATTCATACTCTAGTACCAACTGATGACTGATAACCCCCAATCGGTTGCGGTGCGATAGCAAAGAGGAATTTCCGTGCTTGGTAAATGTACCATAATCGAGCGATGAACACGGCTGCCATATATTTTTTTTCCCAGGCGATGAGAGCCTGGGGCGAGCACGTGGCAATAAATCCCGGCTTGCGTCGCTAATTTTCACGAAGTTGTAGCATGTACGTACCCATACATGTATATATATGTTTGTATGTGTGTGTGTGTGTGTGTGTTAGGCAGGTGCATCGTTACCCGCTAGAATACATGGACGAGGATATACGCGATGGAATCGTAGTATACCTGGAACGACGACACCGGTACTATTTCCGAACCGGCCGATCGTGTCCTTGTAACTTTTATCGGAGCGACTACGATGACACGTTTCGCGCAAAATTTATTGCCGCCGCCGACGACGGTTGTATCTCGATTGTGGGACGCAGAGCCAGGTACGAGTGGCCTTTTCAAGTACCTTCTGATGTATTTCGCTGATTAAAGCACGTTAATTTTCTGCCGCGAGACGCGTTTTTACGACAACACGGTGCGGGCCTCCGTAAAATTATTAACCATTAAATGCGTGCGCGCCGGGAGATCTCTCAAGAAAGTTGATACGCCTCGTAAATTCCTCGGCGCCCATTTCATTTTAATATGTTTTGCGCGATGATTATTATTATTCTAAATACGTCGTGCGCGTTCGATGTATTCCTTAAAAAGCGTTGCTCAGAATTGCAAAGTAATTAATATCAAGCAGACCGAGGACAAGAATAAGAAGGAAGAAAAACATATTGCGGCAAAAATAATTTCACAAGTTGCAATTTGATCGGAGAAAGTTAAAACGTGTTGCTCTCTCTCTCTCTCTCTCTGTCTCTCTTAAAAGCAGATACATTCTCACAGAAATAATTTTGCCGATGATATTTTGATCGGTAAAAAACGCACTTTATTTCGAAAATTAAGTATCGTAAATGCTGCAAATCGCGAAATATATTGCGCAATAACACAAGTGTTATAAAACACTGCGCGATTATTCCTGTCTCTCGAATTTGTGAATTTCAATTAAAACGAATCTCCACCACGGAGATTCCATTAAAGATGTGATTTATTCTTAATTGCCTTTCAATGTAAATGTTCCTTCATTTCCATCGCTCCGATTGATCGATTGTCATTACGAATCCAAAGACAATGATATTTTCGTTAAGCACGTTTGCAAACGAATACTTTTCAAAAGCGACTGCGAAGAAAATCTCTTTACAAAGTTCATCTGCAGAGAATTTCTTCGTGAGCTGCATTTACAAAGAGTTCAACTGCGAGGTACATTAGTCGAGATTATATCCGGCAAAGGAAGTCGACCAACTTTCGAAGACACTGTTGCAACTAAATCTCTTCGAATCTGACGACATCCAAAGATGTCGAACTTCTGTAGAGTCAGCGACAAATATACCAAATGTAACATGGTGGATCTTAAAGCAAAAAAATATAATAGCACGGTCAAACGTTTTATTGCGAATAAAATATATATGCTATAAGATTTGCATCTCGTATAAATATATATTATGTATATTGAAAATAACTAAGTCTTTGTCATCAGCTGGTGCCAAAATTCTTTTTAGAAAATACGAGAAATTTTGACAAGAACAATCCAATCATTCCATCATGCTATTGTGTATATATACAATGTCCTTAAAGTTTCAGAATAAATTTATTATAGACATAAGATTTATTTATCACGAAATATCGACGGAATTACAAGTAATTAATTAAATGATAAAAAAATGACAGAACGGAGACCGTCTCGATAATTGATTTATTATAGAATGAATGTCAGGCATCCTTGTTTTTTACATTTGTTATTATATTTCGGTATACGTATATGTTACATAAAGATAAAATTGTTTAAAGATGAAAATTATACACAAGCATAATAAAACAATATTATTACCAACACATAAATATTACCACAAGTTACGTGTATGGGAAATGTCAGTATAACCAAAAATATTTTAATAAATAACAAATAGCTCATTAATATTTTACACTGTGATTTTTCAAATATTTCATGCTAATATGAACTTTCTTCCTCTTTCTGTATATTTATGTATGTGTATCAAGATAGTCTCAAAGTTTCAATACCGATATATTATACACAATCGCTTTAAATTAATTTACGGTAATCAGCGGATTTTCGACAAGGATTTTCGCCCACGATTGGAGAAATCAGAGCTGATTATCCATTTCAACAGCAGATAGATCAAGAAAAGTCACCCAGTTATCGCTTTGCGGCTCCATTTCAAGACAACGCTCAGGCGACGTAATGAGTTACGGCGTCACGTTGGATTTGCAAGTGAGACGAGTCAACCAGTTGCTTAGTTTAGATTGTCTTTGCCTTTGAGCAAGACGGTCGAATACTGCTTTCGATTTATCGTTTTATTAGTTCCTTCTGTCTCACTAATTATTTTCTCGTTGCAGAAATTCAATGTTTGTAAAGCCACTGACTTTCACACAGGATTATATGTACGTGCGTATGTGTTACTCAAATTTACAAGTCAAAAGACTCAATCAATTACTCTTTATTTGTCCTGTTTTTTTTTCAATTTTCACAGATACCTCAGATTCAAATTTATCTTGTTCAATTACTGCTATATTTATTCTCTTCTATTTTATTAATCAATATATTCCTATCATATATATTATTGTCAATATAATTATACATATTTAAATATATATATATATGTAAAAATATAAAATAGATTTAACGGATTGCAAAAAAACTATACATATATGCGAAAAGGCAGGAGAAAATTTGATTGATATTTATTATTGATACGTAAATCAATATTCGAATAATCAATGCGAGTTGATTGAAGATGTCGATGCTTATATGAGAAATAAAATATCTTGCGTTATAGATACGTGAATTTAATACAAAGAGACATCGAGAGCAGATGTCTATCAAACGATCGAGTGACGCAGCAATATATGTTTTTTTTTTTTTTCAAAGATGCTCACCAACACGTTATATGTATAATCCTATAAACTTGTTTACCAAAGTAAAAAGATAATGACAAGCTAAAAGCATATTATCTAATAATGGTTGTAAACTTATGGGGTATCTATGTCATAAAATAAAATCGACAAAAAGATGCAAATCGTTATCTTAATTAGGCTTTGAAGAATAAATCGCAAATGTAAATTTGTAAATCCTGTAACAAAGTTTATTTATCCGATGGTATTCGTAATAAAATGTAATGTTCGTTATACTATGAGATGTCGTTTGTGCAATGCGAGCCCGAGTTGAAAGCCATGTAAACAATTTTTGAGAATATTACATTGTACAATAACTAAAGTACTTGTATATTATGATTTTTATATCTTTCTCAACTTATTCGCACAACATTAATTAATTCATTAATCATATACTGGTTGATTAGAAATACGAGAATAAATACTTTGCATCGATTCCAAGAAACTACATCATTCTAATATAGACATATCAGAGAGGAAAATGAGAGACAGAAATCATGATTTACTGAGTTCTTTCAAGATAATAGATTGAACGTTACTTAAGAACATCATAATCGTGATGAATAGTACGATCGAAGGACATATGAGTAAACTTCAGTGATACCTGTTCGTCCAGAATGTTGTGTATAATACTTGGTCGCGTTTATCGATCTCCATAACACGTTACCGATCGCTTTTACTCGCTCTGTTACTCGCTTAAACCTGTCGTAAATAACCGATTTACAGCTAGGCCAAACTGATCCGTTGATGATAATCGGTTAACGAATCGCAACATGTAAATGTTTCTCAATATTTTCAGCATTACACGAATCGATCCATCATCAGAGATTATTATCGCGAGATTTACCCTTCCTCTTTTCCTGCTATATTATTATTTTTGATTTTCATAATCATTGTATTTTTACAATCTACTAATAATATGTCTATATATGTTGAAACAATATACACTAATTGAAATTTGTATACTTGCATGTTTCACTTGAAACACTTAACACATTGCAATGCACTAAAAAAATAATTTAAAAAGAATTTGAGTTTATTTTATATAAAATAATTTTACAAATAATATAAAAACACGTTGCAAACAGTAAATAAACTTTCTAAACTATAATATATAACTGTTTTTATACAAGTGCAATTAATCATCTATTGATCTCATTTCTTTTCTGTGAATATACCGGCACACGAAGAAACGGTATCTTGTCAGAGACATGAGAAATGCAGGATGCAAAATAAAGAACAAAGTACGTGCGTGCGTGCGTGCGTGAAATGTTACATATGAATATTTACCGGTAAGATTATCACCGCGTTGCTGTGGCCATCGGAAAGAAGGCCTGGGCTGCTGCTTGCTGCGCATATCTCCCGTCCGGTGCGGCGGCTCCGAGCCGCTCGCTTTTCAAACGATCGGAGACCACTACTTACCTGAAAGATAGAACAAGATAGAAAGTTAAAATCTTACTTCATTAAAATAAATTTCTCATTTAATAATATATGCATATCATAATATATGCTAACTGCATGGTAAATGAATTGTTACGCTTTGGTGAAATTGAGATCGAGTTTAAAATTGAAACATAACTTCCTAAAACTTTCAAAACAGTCATTACTAAAAAGCTAATATTATAACTATCATTTTCTTCTCAATTTAGCTTCTAATATACATAGTTAAAAAGGCGCAATTTTTAAAATATTTTAAATTGAATGCGTGGATAATATATTGATCGCCAAACACCGATCGCTGCTGAGAAACTCCATGCTTTTTCATGGCGAATTTTCCAATCGACGCAATGTTCTCGTGATTCTCGGGAAGAAGAGAAAGTCAACCTTCCCGACGGGTTTTTACAAAGGGTGCCAAGCCTAGGATCCCGCGTCCCGCATCGCAGTTCATACTCCCCCCTCGTCCCCCCAAACCCTCTTATCCCTTAACCACCCCGGTGCCGACCATCGTAACCAGCCGTATATCTTTCCCCGGCGTACGCCCTCGAAAGCGGCCGCCTTTGTTTCAGATATTTATGAGGCGTTTTAATTCGCACGCCGCGTCACCCAGCCGGCAGGGGGGTTGCCACCGTACGAGGGCCGGGCGGTGATGGGCGCGGGGGTGCTGTACGGCGCGACGGAGGGGGGGGGGCGCGAAGGCATAATAGGCATAAGGGTGCCCCGATAAAACGTCAACTTTCTACCTTCCCTTTTCCAGACGTAGGCCATAAGCGCAAACAAACTCTCGCTCGTATATCTCGCCTCAATGGTTTCTACGTCGGTGCGCCAGGGGCGTACTGTATCGTGCCGCCGTCGCCCTCCATTTCTGCCCCCAATCCTCCCCCCCCCCCCCCTCCCGTCCACCTCATCTGAAACCCCTCGCCACTCTCTATGCCCAACCTTCCACCCTTCACGCGAGCCGAGAAAATTCCTTAACCCATATCCGGACAATATATCGCTCACAACTTGTGTGTATACTGATTTACTATAATACTATCTCTCTCTCTCTCTCTCTCTCTCTCTCTCTCTCTCTTCGAACAGTGAAATACGAGACAATTACTTATTTTCTTTGGATTATTCATTCGTTATATAACGCGAGAGAATGAATAAGCTTTCTTCTCGGTTTTTGTATGGTATTATACTAAGTCTGATCTGATTATAAGATTGATCTTGACGTTTGAAAGAGTGGCATTGATTGGCATCTTCCGTACAATTGCTTTTGGATACGCTAATGGAATACGTAAAAGTTCCTTAAATATAAATAATATTATAATATAATTATACATAACTTATAATTATAATGTATAATTTCATGGTTATATTTATTTTATAATCTATTAATATCAAAAATGTAACGGATATACATGTACATATAATTCATATTTCTCTATATTTCCTCTTTTCATAATAATATGAATATATCAAATTTTAAAAGTATTTAGCAAAAGCAGAAACAATTTAAATATTGAATCGAAAAATATTCCGTTCTTTTCATATATTTTAAGATAGAATAGCGTCTTAAATCAGTGTAAAAGACTTTTCAACATTTTTCTCCGCTATATCAGAGTGATCAATTTAAATACAATCGCCAGTACGATTGCGTTAATGAGTTCCGACTAAGTGCACGTTTTTAGAAACACTACATTCGTCTCCCTGATCCACGATCCAAGTCTGTACGTCCCTTTACAACAACACCGACGTCTCCGTCCACCTTCCATGGTCTTCCACTAGCAACTACTTCCACCTCATCCCTCTCGTTCTCTCACTCCCATACCAGGACACGCTGGAGAGGCAGCCGCACTCCTGCTCATGCTCTTCTTTACGTACAGGCGAGTTTAACAGTAACAGTACGTCACCCTGTCACTCTTTCTCTCCCTCTTCCTCCTTCAATCTCACTCTCGCCTTCTCTTTCTTCTCTCCTCGTAGCGTCTCGCCCCATCTTCTTCCCCGGGTCGCTTTCTCTCTCTCGCACTCTCCTTAACAGCCTTCACTCTCTAAAAGCCTGGGTGTGATCTATGGCGGGACGTTGCGTCACTCGGGGAACAGATGCAGGGCTCGTATATTACTCGGCCATATCTACAAGCAAGACGGCGAAGAGGAGAAGAGGCGAGCGAGAGGGGGTGTAGAAAGGGCGAACCTTGCCGTACGGTCAAAAGAATGGCGAACGTCACAAATCACTCGGCTTTTGTGTGACATCCAACCCTCGCTCGAATTTTTTTACTTCCCTGGGATAAAGAAAATTTACTTGTTGACGAAGAGAGATTTCTACTAAACGTTAAAGCACGCGGAGGATTGTTCTAAAAATTGAATTTGTCGCGGAATTTCGTCTTGTTTAGCGAATGACGCCATTGAAGCCAAATTTAATCTTTTACTGTGAAATGTTCATTTGGACTCGACGCAGTTTTAACTGCGTCAAAACTAACATCGGTCGCAATTCGAAATTTATTCTCGAAGATATGTGAATGTTTTTAATGAAATTGATTATATGCATTGTCACAATGCACTGAATTTGAATGCCAACGCAACAATTTTTTCAACGTTTGCAAATTGTGTTATATTAATATTGTAGTAGTATTGTAAAAATGTTTTATAGATGTTCCGCGAGTAATAATACAATGTTTCGATCGTCGAAATAATCGAGAACGACAATAATCAAGTGAGCGACAATCGTTCCTGACTGAAAGACAACTATATCTTCGGTACATTTTGACTTGCACAAATTGATAAGATGCCAAAGCAATTGTATCTGGTTCGCGTAAATCGAGGGCCTGTCGCTCGACTAATTAGGACGCTGCTCCCGATACATATCGCGAGATACGTTCTACCGAAATAAGTTCTCGCTTTTCGCGAGTGCGCGGACAAAAGGACGGAAATGAACGAAACGCAGCGAGAATTCCACTTGCTCCACGTGCGGGAACATCTCCGTGTACATGCGCTCGTGGAAACACTAGCCAGCTGCCTAAGTAGAGGGAAGGGAGGGCGAAGGAAGGGAGGAGAGACGAGGGGAGAGAGAAAGAGGGAGACCGAAAACGCGCGTCGGTAGAGTAGACGCTTCGAGAATCTCATAAATCAGGTCAGGGTTGGCGACGGGGGTGGCTGCCGCGGTGGTTGCAGCGAGAGGAAGCGAGGTGGCTACAATGCGGGAGGGTTGTTAGGTAAAGGTCGACGCACAACAGTCCCATGCGGCGACGTACGCGCATGCTCGTAAAATGCTTGGCGCCAATTCCATTCAACGGAATGGATTCGTATGACGAGAAGGGATGTCTCAAGTGGATCTTTTCGAGCAGACGATTCCGATGTTGCGTTTAAATATTGCGTAGAGGAATATATTACGACGAGCAAATATATCAAAGTAAGCTTTAAAAAGATCTATCTATAGTAGCCGCAAATTAATATAATTTATTATAAGAGAATAAATACACACAGACTTAGCAGAATAAATAAACTTGGGATTATTTATATAAAAGTATATAAATTTAAAAAATTGGCAAAGATACAGACAGACAGAGAGAAAGAAAGAGATAGAGGGAGAGATAATCTATGATTTTACTATGGCTACGAGTATTGACACTACGAAGAATATTTTACTACAAACTTGACGAAAAATAAATCAAAGATCGATTTATGAGCATCTTGATAAAAAACTAGTTATCAAATATATCATTACACTACATCTTGCAATATATCCAGAAATATGTATCGTCATATTACTTATCATCGTCAACTATACAACATTCGTTAGTCGCAGCAACTAAAGCAACTAAAATAAAAAAAAAATCATATATACATCTCTCTTTTTCTCGATCGATACATGAGACTCGACAAAGTAGTATAGAGGGAGAAGAGAGAAAAAATAGCGACGTCGGAGAAGATTCGGAGGGACCCCAGATGGAATCAGTGCAGCAGTTCGGAATATTGGAAAACGTCGGTCTGTGTGAGAAAGAAGAGAAAGACCGGGAAACGGTAGAGTGCGAGTATAGGGCGGTATTTATGACGCGTACGTGAATTCTAAGAACATTGGGGATAGCCGTGTTCGTGTCACACCATCGCTGAAGAAAAAGAAGAAAGAGAGGAGAGACGTGAACAACTGGTCCAAGCTTCTATATAAGACTCAGAGGCATCAACCGGATTCAGAGCGAACATGAACGCTCCACGTACATGTTCTAAGTTTCGCGGCTAACGACGATAATAAAGTCAGAGCGTGCTTTAATGGGAAGTGATGATCAGTCATCGCTAATCTAAATCTCTCTTCAAAATTTTCGACGGTCTTCCGGATCGTAAAATTTGATTGCACGCGTTAACTCAAAATTCGATAAAAGCGAATGATATTCTTTGGAGCTTAAAATTGATAATTTTTTTCAGAGACAATAAAATAAGTTCAAACAAATATTCAAACAGAAATATATTAAAAACCATGAATAGTTATTCAACGACATATAACTTGAAAATTTGGTAAAAATAAAAACCGGAAAGCGAGGGAAGGATCCGAAATAGCCGAACATTTGACACCCACGACGTCTCGTAAAGCAATCGAGCACAGATCTCTAAAATAATGAAAAAGAAAAATGACAAAGTTCGTAAATCCAGAATAGTGTCGTGAGCTCCGGAAAGCCATCGTCGAGAATAAGGGCGATCCAACAGATCAAAGATGCACGGAAAAGGGCGAGGATTCGGTGCAGCATCCAATTGATTCATTGGGCGCGCGTGCCTGGTTTTAATTCACCAGAATAGAACTCGTTTCCTCGGCATGCCAGACTCGCGACTAATCCATCGGGCGTCTTTATTGCTGCGCGACATTTATAAAACGTCGGGGAAGAGACGAAAACTGCCGCGATCGCGTCCATTTGTCACCGATTATAAATCGTCAGCTTCTCCGTCTTTCTCTCTTCTTGTTAGACGTTATTAGAACCGTCCTCCTTCACTTCATCGCAAAGAACGACACGACA